AACTAAACAGGGTTTCAGTAAGAGGGAGATGTTTGTAACACAATCCACATACTGTGCATGTGCAGGGAAATGTTTATGAACAATTTACAACCAATTCACTTAACAGCCAAGGATTAAATGGGCCTACAAGTACAAACAATATTACATTACAATACTGGAATTTACTAAAAATGTCATTAATTACTACGGGATGTTGTATGCATCAAGTTACTGTATGTTTCTCTATTCACAGGTGTTAGCTATAACTCCATGTTTTAAATAATAATAATGTGCAAAATTTTAGCTGTGGAAAGCAAATCTGGAGAAACGACAAGAGTGAGCTAAGTTTTAAAAGTCATTATAAGGATTGTAGGAGAAAGTTGGCTTATGACTGAATGTATTTTTTTGGCTGCTCGTTGTTTGTGTGTAACTCTGTTAGATGTGCTGCTGTCTGTCTTGTCCAGGAAACTTCTGAAAAAGAGATTTTTAATCTCAACGAGTTTCTTTCCTGGTTAAATAAAATAAAAAATGATACAAATGAAGTGTAGTATTAGAAATTAAAGACTTTTGCTGAGAAATTGTCTAAAAAAGTTTCAGGTTCAAATATTTGTGAAATGTGCTTTGAACATTAAAGGGCTCTTTGATGAAGAAGTGCTGAACTTCTGCTTGTAAAAAGTGACAAACAACAGAAATCCTTCAGGCTGCTAAATACAGCAGCTATATAGATTAATGGTGTTCTCTTGTTTCTGTTTGTCCATAGCTAACCGAGCTGAACACATTTTTCCTCAAGCACATTTTTGTCTTCCCTGCGAGCCATGCACTCAGCTGGTGTCGGATCCTGTTTGTTGGTATCATCACAGCTCCAACAGTGAGGTAAAGATAGAAACGATTGTTTGTACAAACTTCTGTCTTATCTCATGGATACTGTCCATTGCTACATGCTTATGTACAGTTATGACAATTTGACTGACAGTTGCATAGAAACGACAATAACTGACTGGACCTGCAGGTGATCATTTACATTGTGTTTGTTGTTGTCTTTTTGCTTCAGGCAGTATTATGCGTACCTAACAGACACACAGTGCAAGAGAGTTGGGACACAGTGCTGGGTGTTTGGGTAAGTTTAGCACTTGCTAATATTTTAAAACAAATACCCCCAAGAACAGTTGTACTACCCCCCCCTATATGTAACTGAGTGTGTATATCAGATAGCTGCATGCAATGAAGTGTGCAAATGAAGGTGGTGAGCTCAGGGAGAAGGTAAAGGTCACATATGGGCATTGTCATCTCTGAGCTTTTGTTTTTATCAACTTGAAAGTTTACTGCAGGTCAGCTTTATGTGTTGTGTTTCTCCTCTCATTCACAGGGCAATAGCCTTTCTGGAGGCCCTGGCGTGCATTAAGTTTGGACAAGACTTGTTCTCCAAAACCCAGATCCTCTATGTGATCCTCTGGCTGCTGTGTTTGGTAAGATTGAGCATCATGGTTACTGTTGCACTTGCTGTTTCAAAGTGGATTTTGATGTCCTTGAATAATAGTGTAGCCTACAATAGTGTAGCCTACATTAATTCATGTGGCTTAACTCTTTGTTCTTTAACATGCCCTTGTTTTTCACACACACCTCTGTTTTTTCCTCAAGAAAAAGTCTTTTAACGGCTGAAAGTTATAGATAATGGATGTTCCATGAATCATCAGTCTCTATAATGTTTGATCTGTTTCTAGGCCTTCATTACATTCCTGTGCCTGTATGGAATGGTGTGGTTTGCTGAAAATTATGGCCCAAGAGGAAAGGTATGTTTCTTACTTCAGATGAGGGGTTATTTCCCACCTAAAACAAAAATCTGTATAACTCAGTATTTAAGAGTGGTAATGTTCTCAGTAAAAACCTACATTAAGCTTGAGATGTGTGTGTAAACTTCAAATGTTTGAACTGGTTAGTTTATGCTGTGTTCATATATAACCTAAAGTCAGTGGTGGATTACACATGGCAGCATTCCACAATAAGCACATGATACACACTTATGTAAAGTCAAAAGCAATCATATAGGTTCAAGTACTTAGATTTCCGTAACTGTTGATATTCAGTAAAAACATCTGATTCATTCAGTGGGAAATGATTGGAAGGACTATTTAAAATCCTTTGACAGCCACAGATACAAGATCTCCTTACTTTTGTGTCTGAGTATTTGATTATAAAATAACTGTTTGGCTGTTAAAATTAATTTCTCAGAAAGTGCTCCTTTTAATAAAGCGTAGTGTAGCTTCAAGCTTCAAGAGATTAGAGATGTTTCTTCTCCCCATAGGAACAGACCTGTTTGTATAATTGTGTCGGTCATAGAATAGTATTAGTGAATATTGAATATATCAAACACAACAACAGCTCTTGTAGAAAGGAGACACTAATGCAATGGAGAGTGTAAAGGTGCTAAGGTACTGTACATTAGGAAGCTGGAATGGAGGGAAGCAAACTGTCTAGAGGTTTGGTCACGTCCCATGTACAGAGGGTATAGTCCTCCAAGCGGGTCTCCCGGGTTCAAGTCCGTCTTGTCTTCTTTGCTGCATGTCATTCCTCTCCCAAACCTCTCTCCCTGGTTTCCATCTCTATCCACTGTCCTCTCAAACAAAGTCAAAAAGCCCCAAAACAATATATAAAAAATAATGTTGATAACAGGGGGAAAAAAAAGTCAAATCAATCCAGTTTTGATGCAGCCTTTGAGAAACATTGGGGGCTCTCTTCATAATAACATGACTTTCAAGCCTCTACTGATCCCAGCATTGAGAACACCCCTTCTCATGTGCCATATGCTGAATATTGCATAAGCATAGTCACAATTATATTCTCACATCATAACCACATCATAGTCTGATCATCATGTTTTGTAGCATTAAAGCTTCAACAGGTTGCAGTTATGAATATAGGACCCTCAGTGTACCACCATAAAAGTTAGCTCCCTGTCCAGTAAATGGTATGTGTGTCATGTGTCTGAACCTCTTCTCCTTTCACAGAGCCTCTCAGAATGTGAAGACAGTAATTATTCAGACTATGCGGACCATATGTCAGAGGACTTTAAAGGTACAGTGACTTTAGCTTCCAAATCAAAAAGGCTCATATGTTGAACTGCAATCCTGTACATGACTGAACTCTAGTGTTGTACTCATACTTTACATCTTTTTCTAAACTCCTCTCCATGTGTTTGATGTGTAAGGAGAGACAGAGGTGGATGACGACAGCCCTACGACCAGATTTAGAGGGAACAGCTCAGAAAAGAGCGGTTCCATCAACGGCCTGGACAGCCAATAGGAGTCAGAGCTCGTAGCTGGATGTTTTCTCCTGAACTCACTCCAATCAACCCGGTGTGAAGGATCACATTTTTTTTTTAAAAGGGTCAAAGATTCAACCTCTTCCTTGTGTAAATGAAGCCTAGAAAGCCCCCACATACAGTAGGAGGAGAGGAGACAGAAGGGGTGCAAGGTCCATGCAGTGTAATTAGGAGTTCACAGAGGTTTGAACTACAGAGGTGCACACTTAACTGTGTGCTGTAGTCGTAGAATACTCCTAAAACCACTTATCCCAGGGGTCTGTGTGTGTGTGTGTGAAGAGAGAGTGCTTTTGTGTGAGTGTGTGAAAGAAAGAGGTGGCAACCAAACCTGCAGATTCTAGATGTGACTGCATGATCATTCTAGCTGATGAAGTATAATTTACAAACATTTATCCTACAATACAATATATCATCGATGGTTAATGTACATTCGACTGGTTTACACCAGCGGTAACTCCAGTATGTTGTTTCAACACATTTCAATGTTTAAAAGCCATTATGTAGAATTTATCACATTTAAAATGAAGCTTCTGTTTATTGCACAGAAAGGCTTTTATATTAGCATCTGTCATTGATTGTTTATGAACATCATGGATGTTCACAATTGTTTCGTGAGCTTGAATGTGGGCCGGATTTCAATGCAAGAAAGCTTTAGCTGGGTAGGATCATCGACTGAGGTTTTTGTTTGTACTCAAACAAAGCAAAGCACACAGTTTAAGCACTTTTCAGAATGTTTTATTGCAAATACTGTACATGTTTGAGTATTCTGTGAATCATTGTGACCTTGACTGATTTTACTCTCCTGTCCATCTGTGGCTGCTATTATTTTTTTTTTTTGTATTGAACTGATAACTGAGGGCATCTATTCAAATTCCTGCATGTGTTGTCAGGAACCTGTCTGTGGGCAGGTGGCTTCTTTTTTTTCTTTTTTTTACCATCAACCTGCTCGTTATTGCATATGTTGCATTTGCATGACTGTGTCAAATCCAATCAAGTGTTTTAGTAGGAAAATGTTAAACAAGTATATAATTACACCACACACCAGGATGCCAGTATTGTCATTTTTTATGTCTCTCACTGTCATTGTAACATTTTAATTAACCCCTTGTGCCTGTTTGCATGGTCTTTTTTTTTATTCCAAACTTCTCTGTTGTTTTTTTTGTTTTGTTTTTTTTACTAAAGTTTGGGCTTTAGATGTTTGCTTCTTTTGCGCTTTGAGTGCCGTATTGAAGATTTCTTTGCATTGCTCTGTCAGCATCCTCTCAGTACAGATATATCCCCTGTAATCCTCGACAATCCAGACACCGACCTCTGTGGAATGGACCGGGCTCCAGCGCTACAGTAGACACTATAAATGGTACATTGTCTCTGGATGTAGATTTTATTTGCCAAAAGCATTTCTCTTGAAAATGACTTGTGCTGTTCTTTTTTCACTGTGAAATAATGAAACATATTAAAAATGTTTTACATTTCCTCTTAAACTCTTGAGTTGTTGTTTTTTAAGGTAAGGTGTCTCGAATCAGCTCTTGGTTCTGAATTCTGAATAGTCACAGCATTGATTTACAATACATACCTTTTAATAGTCGTTAAAAAAAACAGTTATGTATTTGTATTGGCTAATAGGAGGCTGCTATGGTAATTTACAATAGGTAACCATAAATGACCTTGATCAACCCCTAAAGAGCGGCCTGCTGCAGTAAAGGAGTGCCGGATTGGCTGACTCGAGAGCTGCCCGTCTCGGATCAGATTTCACTCGGTTTGCAGACCATGAAACACAGACGGAAATAGCTGCCTCGTGCTGACCTATAACAACATGTTTTTGAAGGTACGGCTTGTGTTCCCTTGGAAAAGAAACGGCGAAGAATGTCTTAGATTTCTACACCTCAATGACACCGAAGAGGCACTGAATATGTAAAAGTTGACTGCAGATTTATGACCCAACAGTTAGTGCGCACGCAGGCACAGTTAAGCGTCTCGAATCAGCTCTTGGTTCTGAATTCTATTGATAGTCTTTCCAGCTTAATATTTTATATAGATATAAAATAATTTGTTCTGGTGCTCTACACGCAAACTCATGAGGGCTAAGTTGCATCAACCTTTCATTTCCAACTTGTGTTTACATTCAAACAAATCCAGAGGAGGGCAGCAGGGAGCCTCCGTGAGTTTGCAAAATGTCACGTGACCACTTGGGCCTAAACCGGAGGACATGGCTGTGTTGACAAAAATGGTGTAGCCCTCTGCCTTCATATTCTCCTATCTTTGTCTGTCTCTCCTCCAACCTTAGAGTATCTCTCTCTCTCTCTGTTTCAGTTTTTCATGATTTTTCTGCAGCCTGCATCAGATTACTGAACGGTCTCAGCAGGTTTAAGGGACATCACAACATTTCAGCCATGGCCAACAGTCCTTGTCTGAGGGGTCCTGATGGGATTCTGAGAGCAATCCAGATCAATTTACTGGAGTGCAAAGTGTGCTTTGAGAAGTTCAGCACTCAGCAGAGGGAGCGCAGACCACAGAATCTTTCCTGTGGCCATGTTCTCTGTCTGGAATGCATCACGACTCTAACCCACCCTCTCCTGAGAAAGCTTGAGTGCCCGTTTTGTCGACAGCTGTGCAGCATCGACAGCACCTCTCACAGCCAGGTTCTTACAGATCTGCAGGACCTCTTGTTGTCATGGAGTCCCACATCTTCAAACGGAGACCTTGGCTTTGCCACAGGCCTGACATCTACAGCTCTGCACCTCTGCGCAGCTTTCGGCGGGTGGGGGGCTCTTATCAACCCCACTGGGATTGCGGTTTTTGGGTCTTCAGGGACAATCGTGGTGGTGCATGATGGTGAGAAGAGGGTGGTGGTGTTCAGCCCACAGGGGAAGCAGCTGCACAGCTTTGGGCCAAGGGGTCGAGCAATTGGTGAGATTTTGTACCCTGTGGATGTGGCGGTGACTCCCTGTGGTTACGTTGTGGTGACGGATACAGGGGATCAAGCTGTGAAGGTTTTTACTTCCAGAGGGAACCATGTGTTGACAGTCAAAGGGTCCTTCCAGATGCCCTGGGGAGTGGACACAAACAGCTATGGGAACATCCTGGTCTCAGACACCCAGGCTGGCACGCTATCCCAGCTAAAAGTGGACTACACTCGTGGTCACGTTCTGGAGCATCAACCAGTCGTTTTGGACCTCCAGTATCCAAAAGCGGTGGCCTGCTGTCAGGTGTCTGGGAATGCTGCAGTGTTGGAGCATTTACCTGATGAGAAGTATCCTCAAAGGATTCACCAATACACACGATTACGAGTGTTTTCAAGAGACTTCCACCTTCTTCATCAGACAGATACTTTCAGCCTGACCCTGCAGTCCACAGTGAGGATCCACATGTCAGGCCTAACCTTTGACAGAGATGGAGATGTGATTGTAGTTGACTCCAAACAGGGAATGATTTGGAGTTTGGGGAAACTGCAGGAAGGCCAAGCCCTGAGTCCTCTTGTAGGAGACCTCATCAGACCAACTGGACTGGTGTCACTGAAGCACATGCTTGTCATTCTGGACAGTGGAGACCATACAGTGAAGATTTATTCTGCTAAATCTGATGCTTTGCTTATCCCATAGCTCATACTTTATATGATGGGCATGGATGTGAAATGTTGCTCATTGTCACATAAAGTAATGACATGAATGCATGATATTATATTTATAAATACATTTAAAATGTAAAATGTTTTATATGATGGTAAAAAATAGGGGTTCTGGATCTGGATTTTTTTAGTATTTTGAATCCTGGTATTTTCAGTGGTTGTAGATTAAGTATAAGTGGTATCAACAAGTAAAATAAATGTTTGTCATGCTGTTATTGTCTCACTTTTTGAAAATATTTTTGTATTATTCACTAATACATAGAACATTGTAATCTCAACCACCAGGGGGTCAGAAACTCCCAAAGGGGTCCCAAAGAAAAACTGAAGGGTCACAAGAAGATTTAAGGGATGAATAAAGAAAACTCTTTTCTTGTTTTTACAGATCATTTCAAATTTCGGGGTCAGAAAAGTCCTAACTAAATGTAAGTCTATGTAGTTGCACACATTTCCTGACCACAAAAACAACTAAGAGACTACGACTAAGTTCTTACTGTACCACCAATAGGGTGAGAAGATATGACAGATAGGCTATGTCCAAATATACAAAAAATATATTATTTTTTATTTATTAATTGGAGAAGAAAACAGTAACAGTTTTTTGGTGTAGGGGGGAATGGTACTCTTAACTGCAATATTTTAACCACATTGTTTTTTTTAAGTATCATGATAATCAAGGAAAAAGCAAACTCCCTGTTATGTATAAATATTAATTTATCATTGGGCATTTCGCTACCATTACATGATGTGGAAAAATGTTGATTTGTTGTGCGAGTCTGACTACAACTCTACTTTAAAATACATGTTAGTATGACTGAAACTGTACAAAGTCCGAGTTCTCAAAGTCGGACTATCACACCTTTACGGGCTTGGAGGACCCATTCACCCTTCAATATATTTACCTCAACACCCACCGAACTGGCCTTGGCGTTCTGTGCATGCTGCGCAGTTTCTATTTTTAACCAAAAAAATAATAATAATTTGCCGCTTGTTAAGGCAAGGCAAGTTTTTAATACTACCCGGTTTGCCGATTGTTTTGGTAACCTATGTGACGCAATAGGTCAATAGCGAGAATCCAACAGTAACTTGCGGAAAGAGGTCAGAATTTTCCAGCTACTGTAACGACGTCAGACACATACTGTCAATAAATCTATTCTGACCAAGTGCTTACTGGGACAAGGATGGTTGTCCAATTAAATGGCCTAATCAGGTTAACCATAGCTTGACTTAACTGTGCATGTAAACATAAGTCTTTACGACAGCTAATGAGCTGGCCTTGTAAGTATTTCTTAAAACCTGGCTGCTTCATAAATTCAAAAGTCATCTAATTATAAACCTTAAAAAAAATATTGAAAACACTGACAATTGATAATATATATATAATAACCTACATGACAGTTAGATTAGCCAATTAAAAAAAAAACCCTCTGTGGTCATTCTTACTTCCAGTGTGCCTCTAATATGGAAAATAAGATATCAATTTATTTCGTGGTTACATGTCAGTGAACTTGTCAGACAGCCACAGTTCTCGGGCTCTGGTCCCCCACCCCACCCCACCGATAAGCGGCGCGGTGAGTAAATCCTTTCCCCCCCCCACTCTCCAGTCTGCCAGAGGAGAGCAGTCGAGCTCCCAGTGGAAGATGGCGGTGGGGATGCTGTCTGGGGCTGGAGCACAGTTCTGGATTTGCATTAAAAGCGAACTCGTGTGGATATAAAGGACAAAATGAACACACTCCCTTGTCTTCTCCTCGAGGTGTGGACTCTTTTCGGGATTGTTTAACTAGAGCCTGCTGCCGTTATTTGAGGCAGAAATCCGGGCTCCTTGTCGGGGATTCACAGACTACATACAGAGACAGGTTGGGAGTGAAAAGTGGACGAAAATGTCGGATACAAAGGTAAAAGTTGCAGTGAGAGTCCGGCCCATGAACCGCAGGGGTAAGTGTGATAAACTGTTTCTCTTCGCAAACCCTCGTTTCTGTCTCCTCTGAGTTATGCTTCATTATCATAAAGTTTTTTTTTTTTTTTTATTTCTTCGCCATTGCTGCCTTCAGCCTGAGTTACGAGTCAGACATGAGTTGAGCTTGAAGACGGTTTCAAGTAGCAAGGATTTATTTTTCACTTTTCACACCCACGCGTTCTGCTTCACTTTCCCAACATACTTGTCTTTGCAGAAATTGAACTGAACACAAAATGTGTCGTGGATATGGAGGACAACCAAACTGTTCTACACCCACCGCCTTCAAATGCAAAAGGAGATAACAGGTAAACAAAGCTGAAACACTGCTGGCTGTGTTCGTATTTGCAGATGTTGCAAAGTTTTTACAGAGCAGTGAGCTTCTTTTGTTGCATTTAATGGCGTTAGTGGAAAGAAAGTCTGCTGCTGTGTAACTTTGTGGAGGTTCAGGGTGTTTTGAAATTTCTAAGTGAAGGAGCAGAAAAATGCAGCCCGCACCCTCACTGTAATAACTCTATCCCACCCTGGTTGTAATACAGCTACAAAAGCACCCAAGGTTTGCATATAAACTCTCTTTCACGTGGGCTGTATGACCACAAGTTTAGCTCAAACATCTGACATCTCATCAACTCATTTTCCAGTTAACACATGATCCTGTGAACAATAATCAGTGTGACAAACTTTTATAAGATAATCAAAACAACATATATCTATCTGTAAATGCCAAAAAAAAGTCAATCTAAACAGAAATGCTGCTTTACTGCTGTAGCTGAGGACATGGTGTCTGCCATCCACCTGCCTGCAACATGATATTATGTTATGTAATCTATGTGAAACTTCAATACTAATCAGCTCAGCATAATAATAGATAGGTCACTCGGTATCCTAGGAAAAACCTTGTCTTTTGCGTTTCTTTGTTTGAGTTTAAAGGCCAAAGAAGATGTAGTAGTGTGTCTGACACATGAAGACACCCATCAGACAGAACAGATTAATGTAGAGCCTCAGGGTATTGCTGTAAATCTCTGCAGTCAGAACTAATGTAACCTGTGTAGCGTTCAAAGTGCTGTCGGACCACACTGTGCCTTTTTTTTTTTTTTTTTTTATGGCTGAAAGTGTGAAGATGCAGCAATGAAGATCATTAAAAAAGAGCGATACAGTTTATTTGCTGGCTGATAGTTTGGCATGAGGAGATGTCTGGAGTGACACAACATGAAGGCTAATGATGGCTGTAAGCTTGTGGAAGCACTGAATGGTCAGGCCTGTCACAGATGTAATATTCCATCCATCATGGCTGACTACGTTTGCTCTCCTCTGCTGTTGGTGTCACACATGATTGAACAGCTGACCTGATTACACATAGGATCAGATACATCTAAAATATGTTCTTAAAAAAAATCCCAGTCTTTTTTTTGTTGTCTTCATATGATTTATCACGCAGATAATGTTTATTCAAAGCAACAAAAAAAAACCCTCTTGGCAACATTAAAAGACCCCAGTGTGAGTCTTGCCACAGATGAGGCTTTTCTCATGGCTGTCTTCCAGCCTTGTTAAAGGGTAACACTTTCTCTGCTGTTCTAGTAACCAACAGTCAGCAATAAATGGTAATGAGCGTGCACGTTAACCTGCATTTAAGGTAATTATCAGAACAGAAATTGCCACACAATGGCGGCGTTCCAGGCAATTAAACGCATGTTGGACAGGATGCACAAACAGCAGAACAAAAAGCTGTCACGGGTCAGAGCTCAGAGACTACATGCCAGCTGCGATGGCATTTGGTCCGCAGTATTTACAGTTAAGTTATAAGTCTCTGTTAGTCCTTTCAACAAGACACAAACTGCTTCCTTTGCTGATTGGGATTGTGGTGGACAGTGGTGAGAATTGCAGCACAACACACAATACAATACTATAGTAACCATACAATATCATACTATACATGACAAAATGATACAGTATATGATATAAAATGCCTCATGAAAGGAGTAGAATTTGCGTATTTATTCCATGACATTTGGTGTCAGTTTCACTTCTTAACTATCTTCATCTCTTAACTTATTTCGCTGTCCGACAACATCCTACTGTCTTCTTCTTCTTCTACTATGCCACTGTCAACTTCTTAATTGACAACTTACATTGATGTCATGTCATAAGCATCACCAGAGTCATTATGTAGTGACATGAAGAGTCAAATAGGCGAATCTGTCCAGAGCACCTTATTTATTTCTGGTTGAAATATCGATATTGGGCAGCAAGGATTTGATAATTGTATGAAAAAAAAGTAAGGATGACAATATATTTCTCTATTGATATTTTTTCCCCGTCCCGAGTATACAGAGATTCCTTTGATAACATTTTCTGATGACATTGAAAATTGAAAACAGAGCAGTACAGAAGGTCTCTGATGTTTACAGAGACCTTGCATTGATCCACCAATGAGCAAGCATTTAATCAATGTTAACTCTTCCAAGGTTTCTGTTGCTTTAGGCTGATATAGGCCTTTAGCAGTTATAGCTCAGTTTGGTTTTATTATGTCACAATTCTTTTCTTTAGTGTAGCCCAGGCATATAATTACTTGTTAACATTTCAGTGCTGTGTGTGTGTGTGTGTGTGTGTGTGTGTGTGTGTGTGTGTGTGTGTGTGTGTGTGTGTGTGTGTGTGTGTGTGTGTGTGTGTGTGTGTGTGTGTGTGTGTGTGTGTGTGTGTGTGTGTGTGTGTGTGTGTGTGTGTGTGTGTGTGTGTGTGTGTGTGTGTGTGTGTGTGTGTGTGTGTGTGTGTGTTGGGCCTCTGTGTTTAGGCTGCTTTGGTTTTTCTTGAACCGTATAATTTTCTTCTCTGCAGCTTGTGGAGCCACAGAAGGGGATACCCTGTTCACTAAGATTCAGACTTGTTATGAAGACACCTGTTCCTCTGTGTTGAAAATGTGTCAGATTTAGTGGGTATTAGCACGCCAAATATGGCTGCAGAGCCAAGACCATGGGAACTTTCTCTCTCTCATGGGAGCACTTAGACGAAACAGAAGAGAGACATGTTTTTATTTAGAAGCATCTAAAATAAAATGCCGTTTCTTAGGCTGGGTTTTTTTTGGAAAACATGATTAGACAGTAAAATAAAAAATTACATAACACTGTTTGTATTTCACTGAAACTCTTTTTACTCTTAGCTTAGCTTCTTAAATACAAAGTATGACTTAAGTCTGATGAAATACAGACATTATGTCTCTAGTGGGATACACTTGGAGCTGTTTCCTTGTTGGAATACCAATTAGAA